TATTTTCTAAGTTAATCCCTTTCTTTTTCATTGTGTTCAATGGCTGCTAAGAGCACATAGAAAAAAAATTATTAAATTATCACTATTTAAAAAAAAAACAAATGAGGGAGGGCTGTTTTTTGTTTTTTTAATCCGAACAATTGATTATTTCGCTTTTGTTTTTATTAGTGTGGGAGGGACTGTTTATATTTGGCTAGTAATAATAAATATTTTATTGTTTAATTCTATAGTTTTTTAAAGAAATGTATCTGAAGTCACAAAATTGCATTGTGTTATGCTGTTAAAATAAGTGATGCGGCAAAAAAAAAATTGTTTTTTTATTCCCGCATCAATATTTCCCGAATTTTCCCCGCGGGGGTGGGTGGGGGGAGGCGGAGTGAAAATCTAACAATTTTTTCAGTGCCCTAAATTGGCTATAGTGGGACACAGTGATAAACTGTAAATATCTTGTTTAATAATTTCAAAAATAATCCTATTCTTTTTCATTGTGTCCAATGGTTACCAAATTGGCTATAGTGGGACACAGTGATGAAGTACAACTGTCTTCTTTAATATTTTCTAAGTTAATCCTTTTCTTTTTCATTGTGTTCAATGGTTTCTAAGAGCACATAGAAAAATTATTAGATTATCACTCTTTAAAAAAAAAACGATGAGGGAGGGCGGTTTTTTGTTATTTTTTTTGTTTTTGTTTTTGTTTTTTTAATCAGAACAATTCGTTATTTCGCTTTTGTTTTTATTGATGAGGGGGAGGGACTGTTTATATTTGGCTAGTAATAGTAAATATTATGTGGGACACAGTGATAAACTGTAAATATTTTGTTATTATTTTTCAAGATAATCCTGTTCTTTTTCATTGTGTCCAATGGTTGCCAAATTGGCTATAGTGGGACACAGTGATAAAGTACAACTGTCTTCTTCAATATTAATTAATATAAGCCGTTTATGAGATTTTGTAATGGACTGCTTTTTACTTTTAGACGACTTAATTTTTCCCATTGTGTATTTCTTCTTACAAAAGCTTTCTTATCAATGTACCGATCGGACGGATATGAAGAAACTCTCACTTTTATCTTTTTGATCATCGACACTGCTTTAATTTGATTCGCTAATAAGTTTAGTAGTTCTTCCCATTATGGGCTTCCTAGCTTCCAAAAATGTTTCCGGAAGTCATAGTCTCGTTTGGTCCAGGAATATTGTGTTTTTTCCACATTGTTGAAAATTAATAAAATTTTGAAATTCTCCAATTACAGATAACATGGTAAAGTAAATTTATGTATAAGGATAGCTTTGTAACAATGTTACAATTGTAAATGTATTCCAATGTAATTCTATGTAATTTTCATCATATTATTTATTATAGCTATGGAGTTGGAACATGACCGAAGTCCGTTTTTGGTATACCAAATATACCTCCACAGGTTGCCACATGCTAAAAAGCAAAAAATACTTTTGCATGTTCGGCGTTCCATATATGTACGCATGCGTACTATGTCAAACGCAGCAGCTCCATCATCAGCAAATTGTTGCGTAGTCGGCGTTCCATACTTTACGCATGCGTACTAGGTCATTCGCAGCAGCATGAACCATTACCGAGTCAAATTCTAAAATCACTATTTTTGCGTGATCGGAATCACTATTTTTGCGTGATCGGCGTTCCATACATTTGCGCATGCGTACTAGGTGATTCGCCAGCAGCGAGTCGGCTCCAGCACCGAGTCGCCAGCAGCGAGATGTCACTGCAGCAAAACGTCTATCGATATTATATCTCTATGGTTGAAACTGTTTATAAGATCTTTGAAACTAACTAACTCAGACCTAGAGGGCGTAAGTGCAGCGGTATTTTTGTACTGTGTGACGCGTGTGGAGAGAGAGAGACACACACAAACAAACAAACACACACACATGGAAAGTTGGTTTCTTAGATAACGACACCTGAACGGAAGAATGACAAAATGACAGCCCGAATAGATCAAAATGTGATATTTTGTATTCCAGGTAACCACTAGCTAGCCTAGTCTTAGTAATACTAGGCCTAGGTGCCTAGCTAGGCCTACTCAACGGCACTATCTAGAGGCCTATATAGGCTAGGCCTAGCCTACTACTACTATCTACTAGGCCTAGCTAGGCTAGGCCTACTACTAGATACTACTACCTACCTTACTTAGCGTAGGTTCTAACTAAGCCTAGCCTAGGCACACTAGGCCTTGCCTAGTGGCCTACACATTCCCAGAGATCCCAAGTTTGAAAACCAAAAAATAGGGAGATTTTTTTCATGAAGCGATCGCCTCCTGTAGCGATGCGCTGTGACGCCTTACAACGCGCTGTGCAACATGAAAGTATTACACAAAATGTAGAAAACAAACAATTTTCATCAATTTGTTTACTTTTATTTAACAATTTTACATTTGTTTACACATTGCAGTTGGCCTATAAATTTATAAATATTAATATTTATTTAGCATTTTGCTAGTAAAGCGTTCTTGGCAGCAGTCAACAAAGCTTTGCTTGGTTCATTGGCATGTTAGAGGCTATGGCTGATTTAGTACATCTCATCAAAGAACATAGAATTCTAGCAAGCTGCAACTTGTTAAGATTCACACGTTTGCTGAAAAATAAAAAATATATATATATTTTAATTTAGTTAGTATAGTACATCATATTACATGTTTTAAGTCAGCATTTATATATGTCTAGCCTATAATAACTGGTACATAATACCATGAAAAAACATTAAATCCTGCCTCGCTAGGCTCCATCTATACGTGCGTAACTAGGCCTAAGGCCGCAGAGTCACGACCACCACTACACACAGGCGCCCACCCAACACAACACACATACTACATACCCTGCACTGCAGATAGAGCCTAGGCCTAAGCCCTACATGTA